ACACACACACACACACACACACACACACACACACACACACACACACTCATTCACTCACTCCCAGGCCTGAAGTTTTGTTATTTGTGGCAGGAGCACGTTCATGACTTTTCTCAGCTCATCTCAGTATCTGAATCACCTTCAAGCTGTAGAGGAGGTGGCTGGGAGCTGAGCAGGCAGAAGGCTTTCTTTTATTGAGGACCTGGTGGGTGAAAGGGCTTCAACAGGCCAACTGATTCACCCCTGGCTCTGCGAGGCAGGGCGCATCTCGTGGACGTGGCTGTGGGTTCAGGAGGTGAAGCCACATAGGAGGTGTTGGGTCTGTTTGTCTGTAGAGCTCCGGTCACCACTTGGTGTGGCCTCCCCTCCCCTGTAGGGTCTGTAGGACCTGCGTGCTCCTGGCTCTGCCCACGGGTTTCTCCGGGAGCACTCCTCCTCTCACCTGTGGGTGGGGAGAGGCAGTCGGGACTCATCTGGTTTTGGGGACACTACCTCCCCGTTCCCGTCATGGCGGCCCTGAGCCAGCCGGGGATGATGTGACACCTCCAGGCCACAGTCGGACATGCCACCACTCTGGAGAGGCATGTCCTGGGCAATGTGGGCCACTTCCCGCTGGAAAAATAGCGAGGACTGGCATGCCCTGACCAACCGGTCACTGGCGAGAGCCTTTCTGCTCAGAGTCTGGCTGTGGATGTTGTCAATGCCTGGGGAATCTCTGTGCGTTGACCTTTCCAACAACTAGCTCCTGCTTCCCCATCTCTGTCTTCTGGAACCCTCTTATCCTGTCACCTTGCCCCCAGGCTTTCCTACCACATAACCCTTCTGTGGCAGGACAACCTAGTGGTTAAACAGAAAGGCTCTGGAGGCAGACTGCGTGGGCTCATATCTCAGCCCCCTTTCTGCCTACCTGTCCTCATTGGAAAATGGGTTCACAAGGCACAGCATTGTTGAGGTGACAAGACTTACTGCAGCCAGTGCCCTCGAACAAGCATTCGGGAGATGTGGTTCTCACCTGCTCTGCCAGGCCTCTGGTCATGCCACCTTCTGCTGACTGTGCCCCGTGCCTGCTGAGTTTAGAAGCTACTCCTCTCCCAGGCGCTGTGTGTCCAGCCCACCTTCATACTTGAGATTGCTTCTTATCCAGCACCCCACAGGGTCCTTGCTGAGCAACTCTGGGCCAGTCACTCTGTCTCTCTGGGCCTCATTTCTCAGCTGTTCAGTGAGGGAATTGGACCTGATTATTCCAAGGTTTCTTATGCTCTGATATGCAAGGGGCTCTCACATTCAGTATGCCCCAGCCTCTCTTTCTCTGCCCTGGCTCCTGCCACCCCACCATCACAACCCGGACACCACCCGGTGTGTTCAATTATGGACATGTACTGTCTCCACGTCTCTGGATCTCTTGGGATAGCCTGGAAGCTCCCTGAAGGCAGGGATACTATCTTCCTTGACTGACATGATTTCCAGCATTATTTCAGCCAACACTTATTTTTTTTTTTAAAGTTTATTTATTTTTGAGAGAGACAGAGATAGAATACGAGTGGGTTGGGGCAGAGAGAGAGGGACACACAGAATCCAAAGCAGGCTCCAGGCTCTGAGCTGTCAGCACAGAGGCCGACGTGAGGCTCGAACTCACAAGCTGTGAGATCATGACCTGAGCTGAAGTCGGAGGCTCAACCGACTGAGCCACCCAGGCGCCCCCTTATTTTTTTTTTTTATGTTTTTATTTATTTTTTGAGAGAGAGAGCGAGCGAGCAAGAGACTGAACATAAGTGAGGGAGGGGCAGAGAGAGAGAGGGAGACCCAGAATCCCAGGCAGGATCCAGGCTCCGAGCTGTCAGCACAGAGCCCATGTGGGGCTCAAACTCATGAAACACAAGATTATGACCTGAGGCGAAGTCTGACGCTTAACCGACTGAGCCACCCAGGTCTCCTTGCAGCCAACACTTATTAAGCACATGTTGAGTTCCCAAGTGCTGTGCGGGACTTCTGGAGCCTGGCCGAACCCTAATGCCAGTATTTTTAAGACTGGCTCTAATCAGTGTCCGTTAGAGCTGTGAGCGGGGCTCTGTTACAAATGCGTGATGGTACGTGGCCGTGGAAGGGCTCGTTCTGTGTGGGCTCCCTTGCCCCTCCTGTGTAAGCCCAGGGTGTCTGGCACAGGATCATCAGACTGTTACGAACATTAGTGAATGGGGCCGGGTTCGCTTTGCATCTCTCAAGCCTAATTGGTGAGAAGAGCAGCCACATCCTGGTGCATTGGGCTGTTGAGGGTGAAGCTGATGCTCCGTGTGACTTGTGAACCCGCGGTGGGCAGCTGTGTGTGCTGAGTACCTTATGTACAGTCTCTCATCCACATAAGAACCCAAGAGGACACGCATTTTGATTCTTTATTTTTATTAGACCAGGAAACACTTAAAAGTTTTTTTAATGTTTATTTATTTTTGAGAGAGAGAGAGGGAGATACAGAATGCAAGCCAGGGAGTGGCAGAGAGAGAGGGAGAAAGAATCTGAAGCAGGCTGCAGGCTCTGAGCTGTCAGCACAGAGCCCAATGCGGGGCTTGAACCCACCAACCGTGAGATCATGACCTGAGCTGAAGTCGGATGTGTAACCTACTGAGCCACCCAGGTGCCCCGACAAGGAAACTTCTAAAGAACTTAAGGGGTGTGCCCACGGCCAGTGACTGAGTGCAGCATTGCGATTCATACCCCCGAAGCCCGCCTCATCGCCCCCATCCTCTGAGTGATGAATCCGGTGTGTGCAGGGGGGGAGCGTGTGCCGGAAGGCGTGGGGATTCCAAAGCAGCCGATCCGCGTCTTGCCAGCACACGGGGAGGAGAAACTGAAATGAAGCAAAAACAGAGACTGTCAGCGACAGGACGGCGGCCGCTTTCCCCGGGAACAAATCTCCTTGATTTATCTCTCCAGGTTGGACAGGCCCCAGTTCTCGGGGATCACAGAGACATAATGTGAACACGGCCAGAGAAATTGCTGCCTCTCCCTTCGTCAGTAAAAGAGAACGGAGACACCTCTTCTGTGGCACCCGTGTTGAGGAAATCCTGCCTCCCGCGCCTGGGACAGATGCTGGGGCGCGCCCAGAGTGGGGGAACCTTCCTGACTGGACCCTCCCAGCCGAGAACCCCTCTGTTACTGCTCTGGCCAGAGCCGTGCCCGAGGCTGGCTTCCAGAGGCGCCAGAGTCAACATCTGCTGACTCTTGCGTGACAGGACTACTCACTGTTGCAGAGAGAAGAGAGAGGACAGAGAGAGAAAGCACACCCTTAGAGTCCGGGGGCCCAGCCACAGAAAGGGGACGGCACACGGCCAGGCACACCACGGACACGTCCCCTGGCTCCCACCACACTTCTCTCGCATGCGGGTGCCAGGGACCACTTGACCTGCGCACTTGATCTGTGCCCTGTACCCACGCTCACCATTCTGAGCCAACCCAGGGCACCTGGAGTCTTGCAGCTACCAGAGCATCCTCCCGTGGATCCTGTATTTAAGGGCTGCTGGTTACGAAGGTTCCCCCCCCCCCCCCCCCCCCCCCAGCCCCGCTGTTGTGTAGGAAATAGAAGCAGCCTGTTTCTAGTTTTTCTTCAGAATGCTCACTGCAGGGGGCCAGCTGGTGGAACTAGGGAGGGTCAAGAAGGAAATGACACGTGTGGGCCGGGAGGCACAGGGGGAGACTCTGCCAAGAGAATGGGGTTGGGAGCTGTATTTTCTTGTGGGGCAATTCCAGGCCGGATTCTGAATTCTGTGTCACCAGGCCGGAAGACGGTTATTTGCCTCGGTGCCCTCAGGGGCAGGGGCAGCTGGAAGCAGCGGGCCGTGACCGTGTGGAGGGGTAGGGAAGGCCGGCAGGTGCCGGGTCCCAGGCCTGGAGGGCCGTTCCCAAGCCAGAGGCCTGCCAACAGCGTACTTTCTCGGGAGACATTAAAGAAAAGTTAACCACCATTTTGTTGGGCCTCGACAGGCATTAGAAAGTCCATCTGTCGTGATTCCCCGGGCGGCCTGGCCGGTGTTCGCACACCGCACGTGGGTGTGCAGCCGGCACCTGGGTGAATGCAAGGCCACCCGTGTTTCTGGAGCCAGTCTTGACGCCTTCCGGTCACTAACTGTCCCTTCCCCCTCACTCAGGATCACCTTGTCCTGACTTCTCACAGCATAGATTACTTTAACCTGCTTATGTGTTTAACATAAGTAACACCGTAGGGCTCTCCCTGGTGTCTGGCTTCTTTCACTCAGACTTATGTTTGTGGCTCGTTCTCATTGCTCTGTAACAATGTAACAGTGTAGCATTCCTCTGTGTGTGTGTGTGTGTGTGTGTGTTTAATTTTTTTTTTTAATGTTTATTTATTTTTGAGAGAGAGTGAGCGAGAGAGACAGAGTGTGAGCAGGGGAGGGGCAGAGAGAGAGGGAGACACAGAATCTGAAGCAGCCTCCAGGCTCTGAGCTGTCAACGCAGAGCCCGATGCGGGGCTCAGTCTTACGAACCATGAGATCATGACCTGAGCTGAATCCAAGAGATGGACATTTGATGGACTGAGCCACCCAGGCGCCCCACGACATTTTTCAGTGACGGGTACACATTTCTGTGAGTCTGTAAATGGGTGTGGAACTGCTGGGTCACAGGGCACATACACGCTCAGGTTTAGTGGATAATGCCAAACCAGTTTCCCAGATCGTCTGTCCACCAGCTTGCGTGAGAATTCCAGTGGCCCAGGGGAAACCAGTCCTGGGTATTGACCGTCTTTTTTATTTTGGCCAATCAGTTACAGCAGAAGCAAATGCCTTGCAAAAAGATCACATAGCGGAGCAAGCGGAAATGCTCCCCAAGAGGGAGACGTTACTGTTGGGTGACATGACAGGTCGCGCTGTGCTGTGCTGCGGGTTCTTGCCGGTGAAGCCCATGGCGGGGCTGGGCCACCTCCTCCGGGAGGGTCCACTGCTTGGCTGCAGTGGCACCCAGCAGACCGTGTAATAATTCTTCCCCAGGTGACAGAGGTTTAATGTACCTGTCCCCAACCAAACACACGTGGCTTCAGCCTTGCCCGTGGGCCTCTGTAAATATTTAACAGACCGTGTCCCTCCTTCTCTCCCCTGCCATTGACAGGGGCTGGTACCACAAGTCATTGCCCCCTCCTGCTGGACCCACAGGACCCCGGCCCTGACCCTGCAGTGCCCCGCCTCTCCTGGCTGCTTCCTGGGGCCAGAGCTGAGCCTGGGGAGACCCAGGACAGGCTGCGTTTGACTAGCAGGAGGCCTCATCCATTTGCAGAATAAAATAATGGCTAATTGAACACTTAATATGTGCCCGGCAGTGTGCTAAGTGCTTCATGGTGATTCTTTCTTTCTTTTTTAAAGTCTATTTATTTATTTTGAGAGGGAGAGAGAGAGAGAGAGAGGGAGAGAAGAAGTGGGGGAGGGGCAGAGAGAGAGCGGGGGACAGAGGATCCGAAGGGGACTCTGTGCTGACAGCAGAGATGTGTAATTCACCCCATTTTACAGATGAGGAAACTAAGGGTTAAAACCATTTTCCCCAAGTAACATAGCTAGTAAGTTTATTAGTTTGACTTCAGACGTTAATGTTTAAACCACTATCCTGTATTTCTCTCTTAGAGTCTAATATTTAGATACTCAAACTTCCTTTTGAGCCCATCTTTCTCTCTTGGGCCTAAAAGCTATGTCAGGTGGGTTTAAATGGGACAAGGGGAGCTCACCCTGTGATCCCTGGTCACTGAAGAATGCTTAAAACAGAGGACGGATCCCTGTTGGCGTGGTTGCTGTGAATCATAGTCCCCCCAAAGATGTTCATGCCGTAGTCCCTAGGACCTTACATGTCAAGAGAGACTTTGTAGACACGATTCAAGTGCAGGGCCATGGGCTGGACGATTATCTTGGGTCATCTGGGTGGGCACCGTGTAACCACAGGGCTCCTTGAAAGTGGAAGAGGGAGGCCGAAGGGTCAGCGAAGGGGGTATACTGGTGGGAGCAGCGTCAGACAGATGCTATGTTGCTGTATTTGGAGATGGAAGAAGGGAGCCCTGAGCTGAGGCATCCGAGAGCCACCTCTGGAAGCTGGAGAAAGCCAAGGAGAAAGGTTTTTCTTAGAGCCTCCACAAGAAAGAGCCCTGCCAGCACCTTGGTTTTAGCTTGGTGACACCCGGGTCAGACTTTTGACCTCCAAAACCATGAGATAACAAATTTGTGTTGTTTTATGCCACCAAGTGTTTGAACATTTGTTGCCGCAGGAACAAAACAGTTGCTGTTAATGACCATTGCTGTGATGGTCACGCTCTTGGGCTTTGGTGCCAGATGCCTGATTTCAAATCTCTGTTGTATGATTTTCTAGCTGTGTGACCTCGGGCAAGTTGTTTAACTTGTCTGGGCCTCAGGTTTCTCATCTCTCAAACTGGATAAGAATAGCCTCTTACAGATAAAGTTGCCATCGGGGTTAAATGAGGGTCCCACGCGCGTGAAACGCCTGGTAGTAAGTTTGAGGTAAAGTCACTTCAGGTAGGCGTCCTCACTCGTAACACAGAGCAGCGGATCGGGGTACACAGTTGGGAGACGCTCGCCTGTTTCAGGCTCCACTCTTACTGGTCTGGAGCTGGGTAGTTGTGTGTGGCTCCATTTCCTTATCTGGAAAATAGAGGCAAGAGTCCCAGAGTGGCCCGGGGTTGGGGGGGGGGGGGTGGTGGTCGTATCAGATGGTGGGCCAGAACCTAGTGCGGTGAGGGATAGGCACTCCCGTAAAGGGCAGTCGCTCTTGTCTTTGGCTGGGTGGTGACGGTCCAGCCTGCAGCCCTGTGCGTCATGGGTCCATTGGAATAATTTCAGTCCCTGTGCGGGGGAGGCAGGAGTATCCCCCCAGAGCTAGAACAGTACTGGGTACCTAGCAGGTGTTCAGTAATTGCTGCATACGTGAATAACGAAAGGGAACGGCCCCGGGCCCTGCCCTGAAGAAGCTCACTGTGCAGGACGAGGCCTGGAGAGATGCCAGAGCTTTGTGGTTGTCTTTAAAAAGAAACCAAACAAAGAACTACTTCCTACCGGCTGACCCCAAACCCCCTCTGCTCACTGCCGGGACCTCTCAGCCCTGCAGGGGAGCTCAGGACTGTATGCCAGGTCTGGCCCAACTATTAACTCTCTAAGCTAGCCGCCTACCCCTTCTCGGATGTTTTCTCCTCATCTTTATAATAGATGTGCCCTCTGCCCTCTCAGGGTAGTTCTGGGGAGCCCCAAGCAGTAGAAGGTTCTGGGTCTCAGAGGTCTTTGGTGCCTGTGTGCGGTGACCCTCCCCTGAGGCAGGCCCTGGGTCTCCTGCCTCCCCTCTGTTTGGGTGTCAGAGCTTCGGGGCGTTATTCTTGGTGAGTTCCCCTCTAAGTGTATTAGGGTCGAATACAAGGAAGAGTAACACGACGACTGCTCTGGGTCCTGATTCCAACAAGATTGATTTTTCTTCTTCTCATCCCCAGCCCTGATCTTTGGACCAGAAAGGAATTAAAAAGATGCCCCTCACGATGGCCGTGCCTGTCGGTTACATGGAGCTCCATTCAAGGATTTTCGGAGCCTTTTGGATTTACAGTGATATTCAGCTGCCTGGGGAATAAAGTTGGTGGAAGCTTTCTCTGGAGTTACGTACACCCGACACCTGTCTGGATGCTACTGGCGGTTTTAAGGAAGGCCCTGGCTGAGTGCCTGGCGGATCCCTGCAGCCTGGATGCCCGTGGGAGACGGAGGACCGCGGCTTCCTGTGAGGGCTGATGACTCTGTCCTTCTCTCCTCACGGATGCCTGGTTGGGTCTCTGCCAGCCCCGCCGGGGGCTCCCTGTGACACGTAAGGCCTGTCTCCTCCTTGTGCACACGTCCTCTGCATGTTCTGTCAGGTGTCCACCTGGGCTTTAGGTGACACTGGCCTGGCTGGTGGGAGAGGGGTCGCCGTGATGGAGCCGGCCCTCAAGGGGAGCTGGTGTTGAATGAGCTCACTCTGTGCGTCTGCCTGGGTGCTGGGTGCCTGGGGGAGATGGACGGAAATGGGAAGGAGCTTCCCAGGAGCCTCCACCGTTCCCTGTTGATGTCCTGGTTCGTGTGCCTGTCTCCGTCCACCAGACCACAAGGGCCTCGAAGGCGGAGGCCTCTTCCTTCTGAAGTGTGTTTTGAACACCCACCACGGCGCCTGGCACGTAGCGTCTCTGGCTGCAGAAAGGGCATCAGGGCGTGACCGTTAGTGAATTAAGGTGTTGAGAGTGAGTAGGGACGGAAGGCACGCCTCTGTGCTCAGCGCGAGAGACGCATTGTTGGATGCTTGCAGGGTGTGTGTGGAGCCAGGAGGCCTGGGTTTGAGTCTCTGACCCACCCCTGCTGTGTGCCTCGGGCCGAGTGGCCGCTGCCTGCCTCTCCCTTCTCTGTTCAGTGGCGGTGATGTGTGCCCTTGCTCTTGCCGGGGTCGTGTTGAGGATCACAAAATAGACTCTCGCGCTGACACCCAGCACGGGGCCCGGCACGCGGCAAACGCTCAGCACATAGTAGGGTCACCGTTGGCTGGGGGAGGGCTCCTGCGGAGGGTCGGCTGTTGTTTGGGCCGCGAACCAGAGCCAGGTGGCCTGTGCCGGGCTTCGCGCCGGGTACCTCGGTTTGGCGCAGGCAGTTGGTCGAAGGTCGCTGTCACCGGAGCCCGTGGGGAGGTCTGGTGGGCCAGGGAAGGGAGCCTCGTGTCCGTGTGAGGGAGGGAGTGCCGGTCTGGACATGGCATTGAAGGTCTGTGGGGGTTCTGCAGGAGACAGGCTGGCCCCCTGTGACATTGGTGACCCTGAGGGATGTGGCCTTAGCGTCAGGCCGCCCGCGGGAGAACAGCGGCTCAAACAGCCAGTGCCCCGAGTACAGGTCACCCGGGGCCACCTGGCACTTGGTTGCCAAGACCGCACTGAGGTGGGACCTGGGCTTTGATTTAGACGGGGTTCCCAGGGCTGCTCGTGCCCCATGGCACTTCTCAGCGAGGCTTTCCCTGACCTCCTCGTGGATGGAAATAGTGTCCCTCTGGTTATCCACCCTGCTCTCAGTCGGCGCCCCTAGATGTGTTATAATTTGGTATTCACTTAACGCGGGTTCTTTGATCTCTTGTCTTTCTCCCCCGCTGGAAAGCAGTCTCTCTGAGGTCAGGAAGCACGTTTGCCTTACACAGTAGGCATCTCATTTCTGTATCTCACTTGATCAGATCAGAGAGTGACTCTTCGTGGTTTTATTTCAGTTTTCCTGGAAGGCACAGACAAAAAAAGGGAAGTGCTCTCTTTTTGAGCATCTGTATAACTCCGGCAGCCAACAGTCCCACTAGGTGGGCAGTGGTGTTCCCATAGTACAGCTGAGAACGGTGAGTTTCACGGGGGCCATGTAGCTCACCCGAGGATCTTTATCTAAGAGAACACTGAGCAGGAAGCCAAGAGCTGCCTGGTGTTTTTACACTGAATCATGCCAATTCAGCTGAAGGGTAAAGACTTTTCCTTGGGGGGCCTTTAGAAGGGCGTGTGTGTGTGTGTGTGTGTGTGTGTGTGTGCGCGCGTGTGTACATGTGTGTATGTAGCATTGCCCACTGCAGAATGCTCTTGGGCTCTTCACAACTGGGTGCCCTCTTTGTCCTCCGGGAGAGACAGACTTTCACTGAGACCCTCCCTCCTGTGTGGAGGAACAGGGGCCACGCTGGGTCCCAGGATAAAGTGTGTTTGGGTTGCAGTCTGGCCCCTGGAGGCTCACGGCCCTCAGGGAGCCTGTGCCCTTGGGTGAGTGGGGCTTTGCAGCCCCGTGTGATGGGTGTTGTGCTGGCAGTACTGTGGCCAAGCAGGGCAGGGAGAGGAATCATGCAGGGAGGGGGCTGGTGGGTCTGGAGAACGGTGAGGGCAGGGGGGTTCTGCCGGGCTTGCACAACTGTCCTGGGGCATGAGGGCCTCAGTTAGAAGAGTGAGTTGGGAAGACTGAGGCACAGCACTGCCCCTCGGCCTCTTGCGCCTCTTCTTGCCATTTCCCCTGCCTTCCCTCTGTGGCACCTGTGCCCCCACTTATCACATGACCCGCAGCCCCGCTTCTCTTTTTATCCGTTGCTCCCAAGAACAAACCCATCGTGGGGGTCTGGCTTATGCCTGCTCCTCCCAGGAGGACCGGAACGGGCTCTGCACCAGGAGACACGGCATGGTCACGGGGGGAAGCAAGACTCAGCCTGGCTCCTCCTTTCTGGCGGCCGAGTCCTGGCCCCCCACCTGCAGGGTCGTACCCTGTGGACGCTGACATGGAAGTGATCGCCATGTATTGAGCCACGCCGTGTGCAGGGCAAGTGGCAGATAACTCTTCCGTTCCAACCCCTGAGGGACCTGTGGGGTAAACACCACTTACTGTGGGATGACAGGTGTAAACCAGGCTGGTCCTGGGCACGCCTGGCCCAGTGGCCGCTGGACTTACCGGTTAGATGGTGAACCGTGCTACCGGTTTGCGCTTGGTCCTCATGCAGGCCCCTGTGCTGGTGTTGCTGGTCGTGCTGGGCCTGCTGGTCCTGGTCCCGGTCCTGGTTTTGGCCCTGGTCCTGTTGCAGCTGGCGCTGCTCTTGGTGTTTCCTGTGTCCAAGGCGGCCCCTCCAGTCCCCCCTTCGCCGCCCCGTGTGCAGTTTGCATTTCTGCTTCTAGCACGTGGGCTTGGCCTCATCTCCTTATCTCACAAGTCCATCTTCAGTTCTTGGAAGAGCCCGTGTCTCTTTGAACCCTGGTACCCCGGACCGCTGCGAGAGCAGGCCTGACCCTCTCCTTATTTATTATTTTTCCTGGGCCGCTGTGGTGACTCACAACACACACACTCATCCTGGGGCTCAGGGATGCGGTGCTGCCCTCCCCCTTACACGGATGCTCCAAGACAGCATTCCTAGAGATGGCTTTTTGCCCTGGACTTGTTCCCCAGCAGGGGTGCCTGGGTCCCCTGGAGTATACACGGGCTCAGCCGAGGGAGAGGCTGTGACTCATTCTCCAGGCTGAGCCCGGACACCAGGCTTCTCGATGAACAGCCGCGAGATTGCTTAATGGCGGGTGTTTTTTAGCTCTTGGAATGTGCCTGGTTAATCTTCCAATCTGGCGAGGTGGGTGCGGTGCCCCTTCTTATATATGAAGAAACTGGGCTGCAGACAAATCCAGAAAGCTTCTGAACTTCTCTCTGGAGAGAAGCAGAGAAGCTGGTACCTGTACTCCAATCTGCCTGCCTTCAGCCTCCCTTCTCCTGCGGGGCCAGTGGCTCTCAGGCTGTGGTGAGGTGTGCAAGAGGGCTGCAGGTTACCGAGGGGCAGGCTGACTTAACAAACACGGTGTTACACTTACCTTATCTTGACTTAGAAAAAGATCACACTTGACTCATGAGGCCTGTTATTTCGCAGTGTTGTTGCTTAGGACACGGATATTTGACTTTAAAAGCCATTTTTGCAAAAAATACTGCAGTAACACAAGTAAACGTAGCCTTCTTGAAGAGGGCAGCATTTGGAATGCGGTCCTCATTTCCGTGTGTGCTGCTTTCGCTGCGTGGCTCTGGCCACATCACTGGGGACAGCATCTCTCTGCCTGTGACCCGAGTAGTCCTGTGCTCCGTTTCACATCAGCTGTGCCGCTGAGTTCAGTGGCATCCTCCCGAGATCCAGAAGGTTCGTGATGAAGGGACTGCACAGCTCAGTCTGAAGCTAGATGGAAAACAAGAAGAATCTCAGCACCAGAGCGCTATATAAAATCCCATAATTCTGCTCGAATTGACCGTGGCCATTGCTCTCGGCACTGCAGACGCCTCGTATTTATCCAGCACCCAAAGTCTTCAGGTCAACTCCTGTGTTACTGTCTGGGGTTGAATTAGGAAATAGTAAATGTTCCCCCTATGAAATCAATTGATGACTCATTCACTCATTTTTTCATTCATTTCCCCTCAATAAACAGGGGATAATATTACCTACCCCATGGGTTCATTGTGAGAATTACATAAGAGAACATATTGAAGGGCTTAATTCAGTGCCTGACATATAATAAGTACTCTGGGAATACCAGCTATTTTTAAATAAAATGTTGAAATGGAATTAGAAGATCAAAACCCGTAGGCATATAGAAATAAAGAACATTGAGGATGAGTTACTAAAATGTAACATTAAATTCCTCTCTGACTTCCTAGTCAGCACAACACAGTGGAGAGGTTATGTTTGTCTCGGTCAAGGATTGGCAGACTTTTCTGTCAAGGACGAGGTAGTAAATATTTTTGGCTTTACGGGACACACAGTTCTGTCACCACTAGTCAGTTCTGCCTCTGTATCTGGAAGGCAAGCATAGCCAGTATGTAAATGAGTAGGCATGGACATATTCCAGTAAAACTTTATCAGAATTGGCAGTTAGTCCATAGGCTGTACGTTGCCTCTGGGTGTGAATGAGGGAAACCTTGGGGTGCCTGGATGGCTCAGTCAGGTAAGCATCTGACTTCGGCTCAGGTCATGATCTTGCAACTCGTGGGTTCAAGCCCTGCATCAGGCACTTTGCTGACTGCTCAGAGCCTGGAGCCTGCTTCAAATTCTGTGTCTCCTTCTCTCTCTCTGCCCCTCCCCTGCTCACACTCTCTCTTGTCTCTCCTTCAAAAATAAACATACATTTAAAAAAAAAAAAAAAGTGAGGGAAACCTGCTTATCACTGAGTGAAAGAAACTTCTGGATCATAAACTTTAAAAAAAATGTGTTACAAGTGTGGTCCTTTTTTAAAAAAGATTTTATTTACTTATTTATTTACTTATTTATTTACTGACTTATTTTTGAGACAGAGAGAGACAGAACATGAATGGGGGAGGGTCAGAGAGAGAGGGAGACACAGAATCCAAAGCAGGCTCCAGGCTCCGAGCTGTCAGCACTGAGCCCGCCGCGGGGCTCGAACCCACAAACCGCGAGATCATGACCTGAGCCAAAGTCGGAAGCTCAACCAACTGAGCCACCCAGGCGCCCCTAAGGTTTTATTTTTAAGTAATCTCTACACCCCATGTGCAGCTTGAACTTACAACCCTGGGATCAAGCGTTACACGCTTCGCTTGACTGAGCCAGCCAGGCACCCCAAGATGTGGTCTTTGTCTGAGGCTTGTTAAACGGTATATAGACAGTGTTTTCTTTAGGGTTTTATGGAAAATATAGAAGACCTTTACATTGCTAGTTCTTTTACCACGTATCTAACAAACATTTATTGAGGTCTTACTGTGTCTCAGCCCATAATGGAACCAAAAGGCACGTGCATTTTGGCAAGGGGTGCTGCATTAGCAAGGGATCATCTCAGTGATGATGTAGGGAAGTCAGCTTAGAGTGTTTTCAATGTTGGACGCACTGTCCAATCCCTGAATGACACACAGGCCTTAGTGTTAATTCGAGTGGCAGGTGTCAAAATCCTGCCCCACGGGGTGGGTAGGAGTGTCCTCTGAAATCCTTGCCCCCCCTTGAGTGATAGCTGCAGTTATGCGAAGGATGTGGTCTTTGGAGCAGAGCACAACCAGGTTTTGAAGCTTTGCTGTTTCACAGCCGTGTGACCTTGCTCTAGTTCCTAAACCTCTCTGAGCCTCTCTTTCCTTATCTGCAAAGTTGGGACCTTGACACTGCTGAATCTTTGGTTCTAACCTCCGTGTAGTCAGCTAGTATTTACTGTCTAAATGTTAGTTCCTCCCCGTGGGGGCCTGAGGGCCTCACCTCTCCCTTATCCCAGGAAGCCGGGTGGATGTGAGGATTATAGCCTGCTTGTCCCAGGTGAATGTTCAGGGTAAGAAGGCTTGAGAAAACACTGGCCTGAGGAATTCCGAAGTTAATGAAGGGAACAGATTCCAGAAGGGTCTCGGCCTGACCTCCCACCCTTTTTCCAACCCCCTGTTCTCCCTGAGCGAGTTTGGAGGCAATCAAAGCATTAGAGCAGCTGCATAAAACAACTCTCACGCAGTGGGGCAGGACTGTGGCCTTGGCCACTGGAAGTCTGGGCCAGAGTGGGTGACTTTGAGTCTCTTCCCTACAGTGCCTGGTTAACCCAGGCAGGGCATTGGGAGCAACCAGGGTGGGCAAGGCAGGCCATCATGGGAGAAGGGGGCATATTTGAAAAAGCTGGAGGATAATTTTCAGCCATCCAAAGGTGGGAGGGACTACGGGGCTGTGTGAGAAATTTGAAAGAAGACCCAGGTGCCTTTAAAAAAAAAAAAAGGAAACTTTTTCCATTATTCTGACTTTAGGACCCAAGAGGTGTATTCAGTAAGGACTAGTGGGGTAGGATAAAGACGACAGGCTTTTGTTGACTGATAACAGTTTCCAGATGCATTCTCTGTTTCCGGCTAATGGAAACTTCGGGGAAAAGGCTTCGGGGCCCAGAGCTAGGCAGTGAAGTGCCATTGTGCTGCTGGAGGCCAGAGCTGGGCAGCGAAATCGCTACGGTGGGTGGGCCACATTGAATGGGGCTCATTCCGGGCAGATGGGCCGAGCATAGTCTGTCTGCAGTCCCGGGACCCAGGGAGGCTGCATTGGACCTGCCAGGAGCTGCGCGGCCTTGGCTGTGAGCTGGTCCTCCCTTCTGCTCTGGTCCCTCTCTGGGAAGTGGATTATTTCCGGGGGTAGGGGGGGGGGGGGGGGCCGGGGGGCGGCGGGGGAGGCTTCGTCCCCTTTCTTTTGTCTTGTCAAATTGCTGGCCATGCTGATAGCTGGTACGGGACAACAGTGGCTGGGTGGGGGGGGGGGGTCTTTCCCTCCCATCTATCTCTCTTCCCTGCTCTATGACTCCACATGGGGTGGGGGTTCTGGGGAGAGGGGCTCCGCTCTACCTGATTACCAGGAACTGCCCCGACCCTTCCCTCCCCCGTGGAGGCTTATCTGGCTCCAAGCAGAGCAGCTGCTCTGGTGAGCTCTCTGAGTCTCTCAGAAGTAGAGACTGGGTTTATTTAGCAGGAGGTAGTGACATAAACAAATAAACATTAGCCAGGACAAGCTCCCAGCTTTCTGCTCACCCAGGGGCCCTGGAAACTCTTAGTTGCATTTTCAGAGAATGTGACAACAGTGCTCGTCGTAAAAAGAGTTTTCCTGTCGGAGAAATGCTCTGGGGGGAGGTTGTCAGGGAATGTTAGAAAATCAGGGGCCATGTACGTCCTGGGGCTTCCTGGCTTTGTGCCCTTGCAGGGGGACACTTGACCTCTCTGGATCTTCGGTTCCTTCTACATGGAGCTGGTTATTATGAAAATTACGTGACCTGAGACGTGAAGCCTGGCCAGTTATTAGCCCACCTCTGAACCTGACCGTAAGTCAGATTTGTGACTTAGGTTGGTTTTGTGACTGTCCTGCTTTCTGGTTGTTGAGTCCGTTCAGGCAGTGCCTGGGGCTTCTCTGAGTCTCGGGCTCCTCGGCTTTCAGTGAGGTGGTGGCCCACGCCTTGTGTCCCTCACATGCTTGTTGAAAGGACCACATCAGTCACCTCTGGGAAAGCGTCTGAGAGCCGGACGGCGTGGCCGTGCTGGACTGTGTGATAGCCGAGCCTGCTCTCTTGACAGTGGAGCCTGGCAGAGGTGATGGGTTCCAGCACGTTCCTCAAGGTTGAGGCCGGGCAGCACTAGACTGCTGAGGTATGTGCAAGACACAGGCAGCCTGCCTCCCTCTGAGGCCAGGGAATGCTGGGCACACTTGTGAGGGCCTCCAGCTCACTGCTTCCCGCATCCTTCAGACCGACTTGCCAGACTCTAGAGTCTGCTGAGTTTCGCCG